AAAAGTCTATGAGACTCTTTTCTCCAGTTAACCAGCAAAAAGCCAGAAGAGATGTGGCTCAGGTGGTAGAGCATCAGCCTTAACTGACAAAGATAAGAGTGTAAATCACAGAGTTCAAGCCCTGCTTCCAGCAAATGTTTTTCAACAGGCACTCTTGGCTCATGTTTGTTATCCTAGCTACTCAAAAGGCTGAGATCTAAAGATCATAGTTCAAAGCCAGCCCAGTAAGGAAAATCCATAAGACTTAACACCAGAAAATCACATTAAATGGCTGAAAGTAGAGCTGTGGCTCAAGTGGTAGAGCTATAACATTGAGCAAAGGGAGCTCAGGGCCAGAGGATAAGCCCTAATTTCAATCTCTACAACTGACAAAAGAAAGAAGCTAGGCACTGGTGGCTCACGCCTGTAATCCTGTAATCTTGGCTACTCAGGAGGCTGAGATCTGAGGATCACGGTTCAAAGCCAGCCTGGGTAGGAAAGTCCATGAGACTCCTATCTCCAATAAACCACCAGAAACTGGAAGTGGTGCTGTGGCTCAAGTGGTAGAGCACTAGCCTTGAGTTGAAGAGCTGAGGGACAGCGCCCAGGCTCTGAGTTCACCACATGTGGCTCCTTGGATGGGAAGCAGAAGCAGCAAGATCTGGAGGGCCAGCCTCTACCTCCAGCCTCAGATCAAACAGCAGCACACAAGTGGGACAGCACATGGCAGTAAGTCAGGTGTCCACCAGCACACACAGAACACCACACAATGATGCATTCTGCATAATTTATTTGCACAATATTACAAAGAGTAGAAAAATAAACATCTTACTGGCTCTGAGTTGGAGAATTTACACAGGTAATAAATACATAAATAGCAATGGGGGAGGGCCATCAATTAGAACAAGAGGTGGACGCATGAATGAGGTCCAGGCTCCGGGACAGGCGGCACAGGAGCACGGTCATGCGCACTGGGGTCCCTTGGCAACACAGCTCAGGTCCAGGGTGAGGAGACGGAACAGGTTGAAGGTGACAGATGCCAGCAGGCAGCCTGGAGACTCCTGGGGGGGGGGGACAGAGGGAGGACTCAGGGCTGTCCCAACTTGGGATCCAGACACAGCACACCCCACCCCGTCCTTCCCGCCACGCGGCCCTCACCTGCTTCAGGGCGGCCTGGAGCCTGTGCAGCCAGTGGGACAGGCGGCGGCTGTGGGGGCTGGGGCTGGCTGAGGGCTCAGTCTGGGCCTGGGGACAGAGCAGGGTGGAGGTGAGGCCAGGCCTGGGTCCCAGGGGGCCACCAGCAATCACAGCCCCTCCCCCATGTGCTGTCCCCACTGCCCTAACCAGGGCCCAGGACTCACACAGGCTTGGAGCTGGGAGTGGATGTGGCGCAGGGTGCTGAGCGGCTGGTCCAGGATGTCCCCCAGGGTGGGGTCAGCCACAGAGCCCAGCACCCTCAGCGTCAGGTCCAGCTCAGCACGCAGAGCCTCGGGGCGCTCCCACACCTGAGCAGGGACACAGCAGGGACAGGCTCAGGAGAGGGAGGATGAGGGCTGGGAGGGGGCATCTGGAGGGACAGAGGAAGGTGGCAGGGAGGGGACACTGGCAGCAACACAGACAATGCTTTCCATAGACCAGGACTGGGGAGTCATGGGCAGAAGGGAGGAGGGAGGCAGAGAGGCGAGGACTCAGAGAGGAGGCAGCAGAAGCAGTTGCTGAGGGGAGGCCAGGCCTGATTCCAACTCACCTGCAGCTTCCTCAGGTCCCAGGCCTTGGGGAAGAGGTGGGAGCTGCACTTTGCCTCCTTCAGCAAGGGGCACTGTTCCTGGAGGGGGCAGGACACAGGTTAGCCCACACAGGAGGACCCAGGTTAGCCCAGTCAGGACCATACAGGAGGGGTGCAACTTCAGCCCAACTAGTAGGGGTGTCCTCCCCCACACAGGAGGAGGCAACATTAGCCAGGGCAGGAGGGGAAGAGCTTAGCCCAGAGGAGAGGATGAAGGCTAGCCATCAGTGAAGGCATTGGAGGATGCTCACAGAAGAAGCATTCACACCCAGGAAGATGGCAGAGTCACTCTGCTTGGGGTGCGGAGGAACTAGCACAGAGCACTGAGAGCAGGAGATAGCCCCCTGCAGACAGGGTGCAGGTTAGCCCACTGTGGGAGGGGAGGATGGGCTCTGCAGATCAGTGGTGATGGCCACACACAGCAGGATGGGCAGCTGGAAGCGCCTGGGACTCACCAAGGCATCCTTGGCTCTCTTGAAGGCCTGCAGCGCTTGCGGGGAGAGGGACCTCAAGTGGCCCAGGTGGCAGTCCCTGGCACTTGGCTGGGTCCCGAGGGCCCTGGTGACAGGAGCTGCGTGTGCACTGCCCAAAGCCCAGGCCATCATCCACATCAGGAGGAGCCTGTGGCGCCCAGCCATGTCTGTGCACAGAAGGACAGCAGGTGAGCAAGGAGGGCCCAGGGCAGAGCTGGGGGGGGAGGAGGGAGGCGGGCGCCTCAGGAGCACCTGGAACTCACCCAGCACCATCAGTGCCTCTGGCATCTGTCTGCAGTGGAGCCTCTGGTGCACTGGAGCCTGGCTCTCCGGGCTGGCGGCTGGCAGGGCGACTCAGGCTCGGTGTGTCCTGCTGAACTGCAGCCTGCTGGGCCAGGACAGCTGTGGCTCGTGGTTCCCAGTGCTGTGTGGGACTCCACGATGACTGCCCGGACTCCATGGTGCTGCTTTTAACCCTGCTGGATGGGCAGTCCCAGCTGATGTAGGAAAATCGAAAACACAACCACAACCTGGCTGACACTGGCCTCTGGGAGAGCCAGGGCTGGGAAAGCCCAGAGCGGGGCGGGGCCACAGCCAGGTGAGTGGCTGAAGTGAAAGGGAAAGGAAACAACTCCCTGGCATGTGAAATAGTGACTTCCAGGCCAGGAGGAGCCTCAGGCCAAACGGAGAGGTCCCACTGCCTGTCACAGTGCATCTAAATCAGAGAGAGAACGGGGCCGGCAAGGCTCTGGCCTTGTACAGGAATCCACGAGTCTGGAGAACTTCGGGCCCCAAGGCAGTGCTTCTGAGAAGCTGGAAGGTGCCCAGGGACCCTGTGAATGAAGGGGAGAGGACACACATCATTTTCTGACTAATGACATCCAAGAAGGATGTGGTCAGCCACCATCTTGGGGCTGACACCGTACGAACAGACAGCTCAGCAAACCAAGACTGCCAACAAGATAAAAGAATCCCTCCTGGGAGGGCTCATGTCTGTAATCCTAGCTACTCAGGAGACTGAGATCTCAGGATCTTGGTGTGAACATAGCCCAGGCAGACAAATCTGACAGATTCCTGTCTCCAATTAACCAGCAAAATGCCAGATGTAGAGTGGGTCACATAGTAGAGTGCCAACTTTGATCCAAAAAGGTTAAGGAAGACAGACCAGGCCCTGAGTTCAAGCCTTAGTGTCAGCACAGACAGACAGACAGACACACACACACACACACACACAGACCCCAAGGCATGCATTGATCCAACTCAGACGCATTCTAACCCCCTTCTTTCCTCCATATTTACTCCAGCTTTGTAAATACATAGAAAACCTCACAGATGAGGAACTTGAAGCTGTCCAGTGTGGAGTTCCCAGAGTGACACTCTATTTCCATGTTAGGGTCACATTTGAGACTCGGGACAGTCATTTCTGGTTCATGTTTTGGTTTCTGGACGAGGGTTGGTGATAGAATGTACCTCATAGTGCAGTGAAAACTAAACAACACAAATGAAGCATTATTCCTCGTTACAATTTTAATGTAATAACTTAAATTTCAGCACCAAGAGAAAGAAGAGCAAACAAGGGAATTTCAGAAGTACAAATGACACCCAGGTCACAGAATGCACAGTGAGAGTAACTTGAGGACATTGGGGTGTCACTAGCAGCTCCTTAGAGAACGGGGGTGTGGCGGGGCCTCTAGTGAGGATGAGGATCCCAGAAACACAGATTCACAGAATCCACTCAAGTCACAGGGGTTGGGATCTGCAATGGCAGGATGAGATTGCCAGGAATCTCAGAAGCGAGCTGTGGCCCCAGATACCGGAGCTCATCTCTCTCCTACTAGAAGATTCTTGGAGGACTACAGAGCCCTCAGCCCAGGGTCACAAATCTGATTCGCGAACGTCTGAGATCTCTTCTTGAGAAGAAACTCAGGCAGCAGCCAATGGCAGCAGTAGACCCCGGGAGCCTCCGCGTTCATTGGTTGACAAGCACCTGGTCCTGCAGGCAGCAGCCAATGGTGCGGCGAGTTTCGGAGCCCCGCGAATCCGCGCGGGCGTCTCCCACGCAGGGCCCCGCGACGGCCACCTGCCTGAGGTCCCGCGTGAGCGTCCTCAGGAGACCGAAGATGACCTCGGCTTCGTGACAGCGCGGCGAGGCCTGCGGGCGAGCGGAGGCGGCGGCGCCCGGTCAGGG